CAACCGGTAGATGCAACTGGGGATTGGGTTTTACAGAGAACAAAGGAGAGGGTTTTAATTTCTGCTGGAACGGGTTGAAGCTAGTTACTCTTCACTAGCAGCTTGCGAATTGTTGCCATACGACCAAGCGTCCTCAATAACCTTTGCTGAAGAAGCCCCATTCACTGCCTTCCGAACAAAGGCAATGTCGTTCAATTTGAAAAGTACAGAATTGTAGCACAACCAGTCAAAGGGCGCGTCCGAGAACCGACCAGATTGCCAGTAGCAGTGTTTCGACCATCCAGGTTTCGTCTCGCGATTAAATAGTAGATCGTGTATTGAAACTGTTGTTTCCAACTGAATTCACTTGACTAAGTTTCCAAAGACATTAAAAAACGGTACTCAGATGAGGCATAAACCAAATTCGGGAAGGAATCACAAATCAATTGTTGATCAGACTTGCGATGTGAATTTTCCCCCTTATAACACAAATTTCTTTTCTCATAATGATTGAGATTGTGATACATTGACGGTGAAATGCAAACAACGGGGAAGGAAGTTACACGTCACTGTGCTCTTTAGCAGCGTTTANNNNACGATTAGACACTTAGCAATGGGATTGAAACATTTTCAATCAAATACCAGATATGGGTTTGGAGGTGAGTGTGGTAGTACATAGGAATGCTGAGAAGGGATGCCTTGCTAAGATTGCAGACGTTTTGCTACCGCACGTATTACCACGATCTGGTTGATGTACATGCATCGCTTCTACCCGGTAATTTATTCCGAGGCATTTAAGCTGTCTTTAGAATGTAGACTTCATTCTAACAGNCCTACGTAATGAATCCATTGGACTCGGTGACACATGACATCAAATGTATATAACACGCTTCTGGTTGTTCTCGTCCCGTGACAATAGTAACGACCGCATATCAGATTATTCTCAAAGTGAGACTCGTGATGCAGTTTGCGAGGAAATGGGTATCAATAATTCGATTCTGCATGAAAACGGTTTGCCCTATACACACACCTACGCGCGTAGACATTATGTATATACATATATATGTTTTTTTTAATTGTACAAACACAAAATCTTCCCTGCCCGTATAGGTATTCACAAGGTCTGTGACAAATAAGAAAGTAACGCCGGCAATTAATGTAGCCCAGAAAAGACCAAGTGAACCTCATTCAGAAATTAACAATGAATACGTACAATAAAACCTTTCAACTATTCTGTGTGGTTGAAATCCAGCGATTTACCAGCACTAGTAACTGAAAATAGTTTGTACAGATACATCATACGAGGAATAAATCTGTTTGAAAGTATGCTGTTTTATGGAGCCACATTTCGTAAAATGGGTAGATATGCCACCCCCCCCCCCCCCCCAGATGGATAAAAGTAAGGGTGACCCGTTGGGTGGGTTCACAATTAGCCTCCCGGATGACGTGTGTTCGAATCCCACCACTTGCACCGACATCCTTCCTTCGACATGTGTTGTATGGAAGCCCTTTTTGATTGGTCATTTCCCCCTGTCTGAGAAGAAGGCAGAAGTGAAAAATAAAAGAAATGGAAAAATAGTGGAGCCTATGCGTACATACATGCCTCACTACCTACCTACCTAACCACCTACCTACCTACCTACCTACCTACATACATACATACACACATACATACATCAGCTGACTCGAGTTCGCCTTGTACTCCTTCCATACTTAACTGAATGATACAAGGTAGACAGTTATTTTTCAACTTTATTGTGATATTGGAAAGGTGGCTCATATAGCAGCACTTTATCAAAGTTACATAGGATCGATGCTATGGATTATTCAGTTGAATTTTCCACTCATAAAGAAGCGAATAACATACGCACGCACATACATATAATAATCACGATCCATTTATACTTTCCGTTTTATAAAGCTTAAAAATATCCGGCAAAGTTCAAGCTGCCGCTCAACAATGGTTGCTTAAATAAATATCGATTAGGAGAAAATTGGTGGTGTTGAATTGATTCGAATTCAGGGCATCCATAG